GAGAGAGAGAGAGAGAGCACTGACAGTGCAGTGAGTCTGAAGACTGACGTTCTGAATTGAACTGCAAAGCTCGAACTTGTAAGTTAATCATACTTTTTTCAATGTTTTTTTTCTCTGTTTCTTTTGTCTTGTGCCTGCTTCGCACTGTTTGCAACTCTGCATGTCTGCTAGTTGAATGTGTTTGTTGATTTGCTGCAAGACAGGTGCTCTGCTGACTGAACTACGAAGTGCAAAGCAGGTGAGTGCCCCCACTCCCCCCTCCCTTTTTTTTTTGTCCGGACATTTTTTACCCCCTGACACCGGTCCTTACTGGCCGGGTCCGGGGATGTCCGGGTGTCCGCGGTGATGTCCGGATCACCGGACAGTCAGGACCGGTCGAGACACTAGTCGGGAAGACAGTCCGGAAGTGTCTGGTGTCCGGGTCCGCTTACCATGAGTAATAGAGCACCCATATATTCACTTGTAGACTCCCCACCAAGACAATGACGACTCTTTAGCAGATTGACATCGTGGTTTTGCACTTAGTTAGTGAAGAGCAAGTTTCCAGATTCACTGTTACTGTTATAGTATTATTAATATTATGATAGTATCAGAATTCTGACAAGAGTCTGGATGAAACTGTAAACTGTTCAAAAGCTGACCTAAACCCTAAATGCTAAACCCTAAACCCTAATAATAGTTTGGAAATCTAGGGGAGTGCTATCGGTTTGTGAACCATTAAACCACCAGTACCTACTGGCCGTTAACGCGGAAGCCGAATCGGCCGTCCCTTCCGGTCCAAAGTCATTCGAGGCCGGGGGGTTCGAAAAGGGCGGTAGGTACTGGTGGTTTAAGAGCTGGACTTTGATGTTGACGTTGTTGCTTCCGCTGCTGCTGCTGCTTCCCTAATGCTCAATTGCAGGCATTCCAAGAGAGCATGCGTTTTTCCGGCACAATCCCGCATGAACATGTGGTAGCTGCAAAGTTTGAGTACGAGTGCAAGAAACGTGGCGCCCAGCGAATGTCGTGAGTTTTCTTTGCCACCCACTGCCTTCAGGACCAGAAAGGTCGTTGTGTGGTTATCTCATTGCCTGAGGCATTATCCACAGTGGGCCTATTTCTATTTATGCCGGAGCGGGATATGCCCTGAGTCCGCATACATCTGACACGAGAAATTACAATCAACACATTCGTGTATGCATATGTGCGTGCGCGCGTGTGTGTATATGTGCATGGGCTACTCTTCAGTGCAAGTCGTACTCCGAACGACCAGCCCGCAGGAGAAGAACATGCACACAGACTTGAGGATGATTCTTATGTAACTCCCCACCGAGTGGAAATGGACTTGACTTATGACAATCTTCGAAACACTACTAAGACAAGCAGTGAACGCACAAGCACATAAGGTAGGAAAAAACAGCAGACACAAGGCAACATATAGGCTGGAGGGCACGGGGCAGGCAGGAGGGAAGACGAAACACACATGAACCCTTTGACCCTTGTTGGAAGCAGACTGCCAGCGACAACCCCACAAGCAGAACATAGCAGCGGGCAAGGACTCAGTGAAGCACCGGTAGTTTTGCAGTAAGGCATATGGTGGATGCACAAGGCAACGAGGCGACGGGCAGAGTGGATGCACAAGCAGAACATGCATATGGGTTACTTTGGCAGAGTGAATGTACAAGGGAACGAGGCGACGGGCAACTTGGTGGAAGTAACCCAAATGCTTTACTGTGAAACTACTGCATGGTTCGACAGGGCAAGCAGACAGGAGCACCGCAACGAGGCAATGAAGCACAATGCTACACTGCCAAAGGAAGGCAAGGCACGCAGATGGGCAGCAAGGCAAGAGTGCAACGATGCACAAGGCAACACCAACAACCGCAGCCAAGCTACAGAGCAACACACCAGCTGCAAAGAACGACATGAGGAGCAAGCGGGACGGGCAGCAATGCAGCCACGGAGCGTAGACAAGGCAGTCCACATATCCAACACAGAGCAAAGCCATCCAATACCTACTCACACCACAAGAAGAACCCTGCGCACTGTTGATTCCCACCACCCGCTGATCCAGGAAGCCACTGCAATGGACATCTATCATCAGATTCATCACCCATAGACCATATGCACCGCAGACATCTCAGGCAGAGCGGGTCCCCTAAGAGTCCGGCAGGCCCTCCAAACAATCAAAACCCGACTGTTTAGCGCTTCTTAAAACCACCGCTGCCTTTCTCAGTGTTGGGAAAAACGGTAATATGATTCACACCACATTTTTTGGAGGTCCTGGGGAGGCTCGGCCAAAAGAAAATGTTTGGGCCCTATGGGGCCGTTTGTTTAAAAAAACAAAGAAAGTGAGGGAAGATGTCGGGGAACGCCGTGAACGACTTTGTACTTACATTAAAACGTGTGTGTGTGTGTGTGTGTGTGTGTGTGTGTGTGTGTGTGTGTGTGTGTGTGTGTGTGTGTGTGAGAGAGAGAGAGAGAGAGAGAGAGAGAGAGAGAGAGAGAGAGAGAGAGAGAGAGAGAGAGAGAGAGAGAGAGAGAGAGAGAGAGAGAGAGAGAGAGAGAGAGAGAGAGAGAGAGTCAAGGTGTTTTCTGTGTTTGAATTGATTTGGACAGAGGTGAGGAAAACTGAGAATGGTTTCAGACTGAAAGCCTTACTGTTGGCAGCATTTTTTTGGATTCTCTGGCACAGAGTCGAAGTGACCAATGAACAAAGAATTGAGTTTGAAACCGGGATACTTTTTTCCGTTTTTTTTTTTTTTTTTGGCTTTTTGTTGAAGGGGGGTTAATCACTAACGTCATTATACTTGCCTGCTTCCGTCAGGGATCGAACTCATGAGCTGTTTAGTAACAGTTACAGGTGTGTGCCATTCAGCCCATGTTCTGTTTAAAACTTTAAACCAACAGTCCATCCGAAGCTACATTGACGAACCAAAAATGTATTTTGCTGAGCCTGAAATCTACAGTGCAGGCACTTGGAAAATTGAGGTTGTTGGCCCTTCCCCACCGAACCTCCACCGTGGTTGGGCACTGTAGATTTTGGACCAGTGCTTGACGCTCGTATACAAGAAAAATCTACAGTGCCTCCTGCAGATGGACTGGTGGCTTAAACCTAGATTGTTTTTTTCCGGGCACCCGGGCACCCAACTTCTGCCCGGATTCATGCCCGGTTGCCCGGCCGGGCATGACCTCCGGGCTGGGTTCTGGGCAGCCCCAGCGCAAAAAAAATAAAAAAAATAAAATAAAAATAGTTCAAAACAATTCCCGGGAAAAAAATTTGTTGTGTAGATTTGCAATGCAAACAACTTTTGGGTGACGGTCACATCTGAATTCCTCACGGGATAAAAGATAAAAAAGAGAATAACAAAATTACTGAATTAGACTAAGGCACCCCCATTTAAACCCCTTTAGCCCCTCTGAAGCCAATGTATACCCCCCTTATCCCCCCTTCACAGCCAACACTCAAAAAAAGAAAAGATCCTGGATTCTGGGTCCTCTCTGCATGTGCAGACGACCCCCACAGGCCAAAAAAAAAATAAAAAATCACCTACTCATTTAAGTTTTTTACTTGCCTGGCGTACCCCGGGCAGGTCTCCCCTGGGGCGACTTGACCGGGTGCCCGTCCGGGGAAAAACAACAACCTAGGCTTAAACTGTAAACACTACATACTTACTTCCAGGATTATCGAAAGCAGCTGGATTTTAATCTTTGGCCATGAGGATGCCAACTTGCCAAGACATCTTTATTTATTGAACTTTATAATCTTTATTGAAGTTTATTGAACTTTATTCTCCTTTTCTCTACTTCCCTCGCAAGTTCCTTCCGCGATCAGTTCGAACCATGTGTTACTTAGTTAGTTGTTAAAGATTGAGTCTGATTGACAAATCGATCACGTGTCTTTTGTCCCTCTTATTATGTTTTGCGTTGGAGTTTTCAGGTACCCACCAGTTGTTGGCGGTGGAGAAAGAGCTCGTACCATTCACTATTTGCGAAACGATTCCAAGGTCTGTGCGCTTGCGTGATGATATGGAATCTCCCTGTAACGAATTGAATGGACCTTCCCCCCCCCCCGCCCCCTCCCCCTGTAATAGTATTCAGGTGTTAATACCGTGTTATGTGTTCGATTGATTCGATACTCAAACCCGCATTCAAATGTTCCCATACACATCTGCAATGACAGGCAGACTGGAGAGAGCAGATTCACACCATAGCCATAGCCATGGAGAGATATTGCACGGCCAAAGTCAAAGCCAGATATAAAAATTGAGAGAAAAATGTTTCAATCAATTATTTATTTATTACGCCCCCTGCTCTCCTCCTCTCAACCGAACAACTCCAAGAATCTCAACCACAAAATCTGTTCCACCTCTCCAATTAACCCCCAACAATACGCTTCAACGAAGTTTCAGTGAAACGTCCCCTTCTCCCTTCGACCCCCAACCTCCAATGATGGCCCACTGTTGAAAACAGCATCCCATCACGCCCCGAGCCTGTGCGTACCGTTGCTGATCTGGCATGAGCCAGATATCAAGTCGCAGCGCCACAAACGACTATGAAGAAGAAGGTGAACCTCGATGAAGAAGATGATGGCTGCCCTGGTATGGCAGCAACCAGCAACAAGCCGCTTGATGAACAGCAGCGTTCTTCAAACCCCCACAAACAGCAACGTGATGGCAGTGGCATCAGCACCTGGAAGACCTCTTACAGGTGCTGCCTCCTCAAGCAGCAGGGCGCCCCAGCTATGGCTGCCCAAGTTTCCCTTCGAAGAGGAAGAAGACTGAGCGCTGGAAATAGTGCTGCTCACGTACTCCCGTCACCACTTCCCAAAAAAATGAGAAAAGAACCCCCTGAACTTGTCGGCCTCTGCCTACTTCTACCCGACTTCCTTAGACCTACAACACAGCCGGCACCTACAAACCTATCTGACCGTCCAAACAGCACACGTCTACGGCCAAAAAAACTGTCAAGATCTGCCTATCTGTATCTAGATGGGAACCTAGACCAAGGGGACCCGAGACTAGGACACACACAAGGGAGACCTACGGGCCTACCAGTTTCCAGAAGACCAGAAAAGGACAAAACAGCAAAGGCTGAAGGGCCTAAGGCTTCCAAATAGAGACTACTAGCGACAGGTTCACAGG